GGGCTCCGAGCTTGTTGCTAGTGAAATCGAGCTCCACATGGTTCAAATTCACGAGCTTTCCGAGACTCTCGGCCACTGCGATGGCTCCTGGGTCTCCGAGCTTGTTGCTAGTGAAATCGAGCTCCACATGGTTCAAATTCACGAGCTTTCCAAGATTCTCGGCCACTGCGGTGGCTCCTTGGTCTCCAAGGTTTTGGTTGGTGAACTCGAGGACCAAATGGGTAAGCTGATGAAGTGTGGCAAAGGTTTGTGGCAGAGTTTTGCATGAGAAGCCGATCATGTTGGACAGGGCCGCGCCGCTGCATGCCAAAACGGCATCCCCCGTTGGAAGCTGCCCGGCAGCAATACCAAACGAGATTTGTAACTTGAACACTCCCATCCGCTTCCGTAGCCGATCGGCTCTCTCGAGGCACCGCTTGATGGCTGCGATGTCAAACTCTGGGTCTTTTAGCATGATGTGATCCACCCCTGTCGAAAAAAACCAATCAAGATCTTGACTTGACACGTGTGATGCTTGTAACGGCGAGTCGAGCAAGTTGATCATCTGTGATTCACCATGTTCACCCACTTTGTCCCATGGGACGGCCACCGTGAGATCACTTGCCTGGGTTTTCCTGGCTTTTTGAGCTGCCCGAAAAAGTTGACGTGGCAATGGTATCGTCTCTTTTGCCTGCTGTGCAGTAAACACAATTGATCCATGGACCTCTTCCAACTCCACTTCAACTTTGAGCTTCTCGATGACTTCGGCCATGTGGGTGAAAAGGGTTGTGTTGATCTCCATGTCTTTTACGCTCAGCCTTCTCAGAGCCCTCCGGGCTTCCAACACTTTCAGAACATCTCGAAAGGCATCCTTGGCCACTCTGACAACCTCCACCGACTTCACAACAGATGATTGCAGCATGACCTGAGTGTGCTCAACGGAGGCGCAGTTCTTGATAATCAAACTGTGTGCAGAATATTGGCAAGTGCCACCGAACCCACCGATGTGGAACACAAAGTTCGCATTCTTCTTGCAAAGAATCTCCACGTTCGGCCAAAGCTGTTCCAATCCCTCTTTGCCGAAGTTCTGCTCCGCGAAGCTGCATTCGGAGAGGTTGGTGGCATCTGCAAGCACTGCACCAATTTGTTTTATGTGCTCGTCAGAGAGAGGGCCTGCCAAAAAACACATAGAAACTGAAGTGGACCAGTGATGTCACTACAGTCTTCAAAATTCAGCACATGTAGCAGAATTCAGTCAGTTTGTTGGCACCGTTTGAATGTGTCAGTTTGCTCCTCTTGTGGAACAGTTTTACGTTTTGAATTTGACAATTCAGTCGAATGTTAAAACTGCATACCCTGCAAAGGACCTTGATCGATGAAGTCCACAGCCTGTTTGCTCTTCAGCAAATGTAGCAAAGGAGCCCTCCACTCCAGGCCCACCAGCAAGGAATCCAACAAACAGGCACACAAACTCATGTTCTGGCTGCGTGCCAGATCGTTGATATCTTTGAGCGTCAAACCCATGCAAACAATGGATGTTCCAATGGAAACTGCCAGGGTTGCGACTTTCGACTTTTCAAGATCCATCCTGTTCGTCATGACTTTCACGTAGAACATGCGGCTCTGCAGCAGCGCTTGGCCTGGAGACTCAAGAAGAGTCTCTGTCAGGACCCTTAGGCGCATGACGTTTGCTATCCATGCCTGTTGTGGCGATGATGTTGGCCAAAGACACAGGAAAAGGATGTCGGCGGCTGCCAATGATGGCAAACCACACATCGCCCATAAGAGCATGGCGAAGCACGCTCCACAGTGCCTCCGGAACTGCTTGACCACAATTGGGGTGATCAGTGCAAACCATACAACAAATGTAGATGCGATTAGCCCCACGGAGATCCTTGCCCACCATACGTCATTGGTCCA